TCGCAAGTTGTGTAGCTTCTAACGTCTATTCCGACCCCAGCCACTACCTGTGGCCTGATTGGTTACTTGCCAGTGCACCACACAGAGACCGGCGGATCAGTGTCATGAGCACTAACATACATTCGACAGTCAAAACTGTCCACACTGTTAAAATATATTCACACACCGCATTTGCCTATTGGGCCATATTCGCCTCCATGAAAACGCACAGAAAAACAACACAAGCTACAACATAGTACCCCAGCTCTCCTCATCAGGATCATACATAGTCACGCCCAACATAACAAGCCCCGTGTTTTCAACCAGCATCTGAGGAAGAAGTATGACTCTCGGCTCTCTTTTAGTGTGGCCTCTCGGATGCATGTGTGATCCAAGGCTCAACATTTAAAATGCGCTAATCACCGTAGTCTAGAAGGTCGGCAACCGATGATTGTAGTCAGATTTTGCCCTCAGTCCATTGTGTGCTTGTTTGGGGTGACATACTGGGGTTAAAGGCGTTAAACTGCAACGTCTCCTTTTCATCGCGATCCCTGATACACATGTATTTTGTGAACCGCTCAACCTCCTTTGCGAGAAAACCCCTAGGCTTGCGTCTGCATGTACAGACGAGGTCAGTAGACATATCAGCAGCTATAATTTTTTCCCGCATTAGCCCACTGACTGGTTCGGAGGGTGGCTGGGGCTGTGGCCTCCATAGCAGTTCAATTAAGTTGAATTAGGCCAGTGTCGGTTCGTCTAGAGGCAACTCCGACCACGCCAGCCACCTGCGCTGTCGCTTACCTCCGATCGAGCATACGGAGCCACCCAAAAGCTACCGTCTGCATTCTGATGTCTTAAACCTGCGTTTTAGTACCGATTTCATTGTCTCCCCTCCGTGAACTGGTTGTCGGTTCAACCAAGGCGGCTTTCACACAAACTGTAATTCATGGTCACTGTCGAGAAGGTGGGACCAGAATTTAGTATGAACTGATCACAGGATTGCTATCGATTTCTCTGTACAGGGTAAGGACTTATTTTCCTGACTTCGCGTAATGCCCACTCCAACTGCCTTCATGACAGTCCCACTGCGTAGAATCTGAATCACGGATGGCGGCACGCTTAGGGGTCTCCAGCCGCGCTAGCTACCTTCGACCTCTCCCCCCCCTAGTCGACCTATCGAGGAGTGTTAAGACTAGTGAAGTTTAATCCTAACGGCTGCGATCTTCTAGTCCTGGTTCCTTAGGCGAAGAAAGAGAGGAGTCTTGGGAAGACCAGAGAATTAGGAAGAATATATTCTTTACAGAATGAATTGGAGCAGAGGCAGTAGGAAAATGACTATGAGACGCTAGCACAACTGCAAGCCAACGGACGGCGTCTGTTCGGCAGACGTCGAATGAGGTCCTATGTGAGTCGGTCTGTGGTTGGTTGTTACAGAGAACAGAAACAGCGAGCCTTCCGAAAGAGCCCTCCGACTTGAGCTAGTCATGACAACCGTTCACAAGT